GCATAAATTCTATACTGGTGGCATATGGTCAAATTTTTTATTTATGAAGTGTAAAATCAAAAAACTTTGGAGAATACTACTATAAATTGATCATAGGTCTTGTAGATAGGCAGACTTGAGTTCAAATGACTATTCACATAATTATTGATTTTGTAGTTTAGGGCAAGCCACTTAACTGAGCTTTAGTTAACACCTTTGTAAAAAATATAAAATGAAATAAAATTTTGAAAAGTATAGCCAAGCATGGTGGGTAGATTGCTTGAACTCAAGAGTTCCAGACCAGACAGAGCATGAGTGAGACCCCATTGCTACTAAAAACAGAAAAAAGAGTCAGGCATTGCATCAGGCACCTATAGTCCCAGCTACTTGGGAGGCTGAGCTAGGAGGAGCACTTGAGCCTAAGCCTTTGAAGTTGCTGTGAGCTATGATGCGACAGCACTCTATCCACAGCAAGAGTGTAAGACTCTGTTTCAAAAAAATAAAATACATTATTATTACTAAGAGTTTTATACAAATTACAGATAATATATGTAAAGAACATCATATATTCTTGGTAAATAATAGTTACCTATTATTTTTAGTTACTATGTCATTAAATTTAATACCACTAGATATAATGAAATTAAGAGTTTTGAAAACAGGCCAGTCACAGTGGCTCACAACTATAATCCTAGCACTATGGGAGGCTAACACAGGAGGATCACTTGAGCTAAGGAGTTCAAGACCATCCTAAGTAACAGCAAACCCCCATCTCCACAAAAAAAAGAAAAATTGGCCAAGCATGGTAATACATGCCTGTCATCCCAGCTACTCAAGAGTCTGAGGCAGGAGGATCACTTAAACCTCCCACCTCAGCCTCAGTCTGAGGTTGCAGTGAGCTATTATGATGCCAACTGCACTCTAGCCAGGCAGAGCAAGGATCTATCTCAAAAAATAAACAAAAAATGGGGAGAGCTGAGAAACGGAAGGAGGGAGGGGGTGGGGGTATAAGGGGTGTGGTACACCTTTGGGGGGCGGGACACAATTATAAGAGTGTCCTTATCTAACAAAAGCAATCAATGTAACCTGGTTCTGTGTGCCCTCAACAAATCCCAACAGTAAAAATAAATAAATAAATAAATTTTTTTTAAAAGATTCTATCTGCTTGCAATAGATGGTATGTCTTTTAATTAATTTTATCAATTCCACAGAGTTATCTTAAGAGCTCCCTATGTTGCTAAGGAATTTTTAAAGAGGAATCGATATAAACAGATGATTGGCAGAGCTGGTCGTGCTGGCATAGATACCATTGGGGAAAGCATCCTTATATTGCAAGAGAAAGACAAACAACAGGTAATACTTAATCTAGTTGGCTGCTTGTTTTTGTCTTCTTTTTCTTGGTGGTTAGCCCTTTTATGAGATCATCTTTCCAAAGTTATTTGTTAATTTCCCTTTAAATAATGCTTCCTTTCCTATATGATTAAGAATTAGAGGGCTCGGCGCCTGTGGCTCAAGTGGCTAAGG